GCCCGAGCATTAGAGGCAGTGTCTCGCACGTGTCCGACCTTGTGAAGATCAAGAGCTGCAATTTTACTTTTTCTTAACGAGGGACTGCAATCTTTCTGCTTCCTATGTTCACAAATATTACCTCCGTCCTAACAGTCGTGTTAGAGCCCCTACAGCTGGACTTTGCAAATTCGGCTTCTTAAACGCTCGCGGACACGACCGGGCACCTTTTAAATATTATTCCGTATATTCATGTACCGTAAATTCCGATCCTCAAATCCATGCAATCCATGCATGCCTCATACGGTACAAACTGTCTGAATGTCAAAGTTCGAAACAAAGCAAAGCAAAACATAATTTAACAAATCGGACATGACAAAATGAAATCAATGTCTGAGTGTGACGGATGGCCTCGGATCACTGGTTGGGCGCATGCTCCAAGCGGAATGTGTCCTGCTCGTCCTACTCCGCGTGCATCCGGGCCGCCTCCTCCGCCTGCACCCGAGCCGCAGCCGCCCTCGCCGCCTCGTAGTCCTTTCGGTCGTTGATCTCCTTCTTCTTGTCCGCAAGCCACTTCTTCGGATGCTCATCCAAGACGGTCTCGTCCGCCAACATGATCTTCGCATCTTCCGCGTCCCATGCGAGTTGCAACATTTCCTTCTCAAGCTTTATGTCGCCAAATGTCGTTGCGACGTCCTTCGCCTTGCAAGTCGTCGTCGACGAAATCACGCCTCCGACGGACAAGGCGGACTGCGTCTCCGTCGCGGTGGTGTGGGTTGGGCTGGACGACATCTCCGGCGATGGATCGGGACCTGAGGTGAGGATTGGGAGCAAGGGTGGAGGCCGGCGAGGGTCGGGCGCGGGAATGGTTGGAGGGCGGCAGAAGGAGGAGGAATGGTTTGATGGATTTGATGCAATTTAGGATGGGGTCGAGTTGTCGGGTCCGATGTGGCAGGCGTGCCCGGGCGCCCCCATATCCACTCCATATTTGGGCTGGATATGGGGGATGCTGGTCAGCCCTAGCGTTTGAGGGTCGTTTGAGAGGCCCGTCTAGGTTCAAAAATCGTGACCGGACAGTGATCAGGCGGCCCGCCTGGACGTATGAGGCGGGTTTGAGAGGTCCAGTTGTAGATGCTCTTAGGTACACTAGCAAATATGCCCGTGCGTTGCAACGGGAGAAAAAGAATCAGATTATGCAGATTATGTCATGATCAGATAAGGACTTTTAAAATGTCATTTCATAAACTACTGAAAGTACATTATATCGACTAGAGGGGGGAAATAGGCGATTTTTACAAATTCATGAATGAGGAAATTCAAGGTGAGGAATTTCCTAAGTCACGAACAACTAGCAGCGGAATAAGTACTCAGATGCAAGCGTAACAGAGTAGTAACAGGGTCATCATGATGAAATAAAGACAAGCACAGAGTACAAGTAGTGTGTAAACAGGATAATCAACCTGAAGACAAAGTGACTGAAGAATTAGGATTGAGAAAATTGAGAAAGTCTTCGGTCAAAGTGTTCAAACAATAATGATCAAGTAATTCAACGCATGAATGAGGAAATGAAAGGGTTGAGAAAATAGAACCAGTAGCTTGGTGAAGACGATGATTTGGTAGACCATTTCCAACTGTTGTGACAGTTGTACGTCTGGTTGGAGCGGCTAGGTATTTAAACCTGAGGACACACAGTCCCGGACACACAGTCCTCACCGTATTCTCCTTGAGCTAAGATCACACAGACCTCGCCCAATCACTCGTGGTAAGTCTTCAGGTGACTTCCAAACCTTCACAGACCCGGTCACTCGGTGATCCACAATTTCCTCTTGGATGCTCCAGACCATGACGCCTAACCGTCTGGGGGATGCACAGTCCTCAAAGGTAACAAGCATCTGTTCCATACAGGAACAATCTCTTCAGTGATGCTCAATCACTTTGGGTTTGTAGGTGTTTGGGTTTGGGTTTTCCTCACTTGATGATTTTCGCTCAAAGTCCTTGGAGGATGGGATGCTCTCAATGATAAGTGTCAGTTTCTCTCGAAGCAGCCAACCAACTAGTGGTTGTAGGGGGCGGCTATTTATAGCCTAGGGAGCAGCCCGCCATGATAAGACATAAATGCCCTTCAATGATATGACTGTTAGGTGGGTAAATATTTTGGGACAGCTGGCGCATAGCACAACAACGGTCAGGTATTTGATTATCAAATTCCTCAGGGCTATCATGTTCCTCACTTATAGGCAATCCGCATTGGCAAATTCCTAACTCCTCAGTCAGAACAAATTCCTCAGAGACCAAAAGATCTCCATCTCTGTCACTGAAGAAATTGACTAGACTGTATGAGATTTCCAATGGCTTCACTCGAAAGAATTGGGTAGGTGTAGGATTTTGAGATGAACATCACTTGGAAACTTTTCCTTAGTTTTACCTCGACCCCCTTAATAGTACGGTGTTTCCTATGACTTAAGAAAGAGAAAATGAAACTACGAAAACAAAAATCTTCATGCTTCATTATCCTTGCATGAATACCAAGTCTTCATGGTCACATCAATTTCTTCGCTTTCAAAATCCTCAAGAAAACCAAATTCTTCAGCTGAAGACATTCATTTTTAGGGATCGACTTTTATCGTAAATATCAAACTCCTTATAGACTTATAGACCTATGTACACTCGCAAACTCATTAGTCCCTTAACCTATAAGTCTTCAATGTTGGGGAACGTAGCATACAATTTTAAAAAAAAACCTGCGATCACGCAAGATCTATCTAGGAGAAGCATAGCAACGAGAGGGAGAGAGTGTGTCCACGTACCCTCGTAGACCGAAAGCGGAAGCGTTTGACAACCCGGTTGGTGTAGTCGAACTTCTTCTTGTTCCGATCGATCAAGCACGGAACATACGACACCTCCGAGTTCTGCACACATTTAGCTCAATGAAGTCCCTCGAACTCTTGGTCCAGCAAAGTATCAAGGGAGAGTTCCGTCAGCACGATGGTGTGGTGACGGTGATGGCGAAGTGATCCGCGCTGGGCTTTGCCTAAGCACTATGAAGATATGACCGGAGGTGTAAACTGTAGAGGGGGGCGCCGCACACGGCTAACAATTGCTGGTGTATGTTCTAGCGGTTCCCCCCTTTATATATATAGGTTGGAGGGGAGGAGAGGCAGCCATGGGGTCCTCCCAATTCGGCCACCCCCTTTTCCTATTCCTATTCGGGGTAGGGAGGGAAGAGGGGGGAGGAGGAATCCTATTCCCTTTTTCCTTTCCTCCTTCCTCTTTTCTACTCCAATTTGGCAAGCCCGTATAGGAGGGGTGCACCAGCCCCTTAGGGGCTGGTTTGTCCCCCTCTTGGCCCATTAAGGCCCATGTAGTTGCCGGGGGGATACCCGGAACCCCTTCTGGTGACCCGATATGCACCCGGTATCCCCGGAACATTTTCGGTGTCCGAATATCATCGTCCAATATATGAATCTTTACCTCTCGGCTATTTTGAGACTCCTCATCATGTCCATGATATCATTCGGGACTCCGAACAACATCCGGTCACCAAATCACATAACTCATATAATACAAAATCGTCATCGAACGTTAAGTGTGCGGACCCTATGGGTTCGAGAACTATGTAGACATGAACGAGACACCTCTCTGGTCGATAACCTACAGCGGAACCTGGATGCTCATATTGGTTCCCACATATTCTACGAATATATTTATCGGTTGTACCGTAATGACAACATATGTTATTCCCTTTGTCATCGGTATGTTACTTGCCCGAGATTTGATCGTCGATATCTTCATACCTAGTTCAATCTCGTTACCGGCAAGTCTCTTTACTCGTTCCGTGATGCATCATCCCGTAACTAACTCATTAGTCACATTGCTTGCAAGGCTTATTATGATGTGCATTACCGAGAGGGCCCAGATACCTCTCTGATACTCGAAGTGACAAATCCTAATCTCGATCTATGCCAACCCAACAAACAACTTCGGAGATACCTGTAGAGCATCTTTATAATCACCTAGTTATATTGTGACGTTTGATAGCACACAAGGTATTCCTTCGATATTCGAGAGTTGCATAATCTCATAGTCAAAGGAATATGTACAAGTCATGAAGAAAGCAATAGCAATAAAACTTAATGATTATTATGCTAAGCTAACGGATGGGTTTTGTCCATCACATCATTCTCCTAATGATGTGATCTCGTTCATCAAATGACAACACATGTCTATGGTTAGGAAACTTAACCATCTTTGATTAACGATCTAGTCAAGTAGAGGCTTACTAGGGACACTGTGTTTTGTCTATGTATCCACACATGTATCAAGTTTCCGGTTAATACAATTCTAGCATGAATAATAGACATTTATCATGATATAAGGAAATGTAAATAACAACTTTATTATTGCCTCTAGGGCATATTTCCTTCATTCAATACACCAAAATCACTAAGGGGCACTAAATGCACTTACAATCTCCCCATTTTTGGTGATTGGTGACAATATAGGTTAAGTTTTCAACGGGAGTAAACATATGAAGTGTAAATACTGATATTGAGGAATTTGGTTGCAAGATATAGAAGAACTCCCCCTGAAGATGTGCATATCTGAGGAATTTGCTTTGAAAAGCAAATGCACATTGTAGAGTAGAATCATGGAGATCCCCCCTATATCTTGTAATCCATACATGCATTTAACATATGATATGAAGAATTTGAAATGCATGATGAAATATGGACTCTGATGAATT